AGGAACCTACGGAGACGTTTATAAGGTCAGATGCTTTTCATCTCCCTCTGCTCGGCGGCACTACTCATGTTGAACATCTAAAGGCTTTTTGAAGGATAAGGGTGTCCTGAAGCAGGCCAAGAGAAGAAAAGGTGCCCTATTTTAAGACAACTGGCTCATTTAAAGCTCTAAACCAGCTAAAAGTCAGTAGTGTGAAGCAGGTGTTTTCCTCACTGGCTGCTGGCAGCGCTTTCATCGTCAGAACAAGTCAAGCATATCTTACTTCTGCCTGCTTAGCAAGTTGCTCACTTATCTGTAGCTTCACAGGTTAACCAGTGAGATGTGCAGAGCTGAACATGTGGTGTTGTACATGCTGGGAATCGCTTGGTGATATTAGGAGGAAACATAAGTGTGACTGATTTTAGTCTCATTGGTTCAATGTGATCACTGCTCCAGCCCTGCTGGAGGAAGTGGTTTACAAAGAAGTGAAAGTATTCTTGTCAATAGCTGAAAACCTTTTGAGAATTTTACTCCAGCTGAAACTGAAGTCTGTGTTGTAGGATGTAACGTTCAAAACACAACTTCAGGACAGTGATGGTCTGTGTGGTGACTGCTTCACTGAGGAGGTGCATGTGATCCAACTGGACCCTGACTGGGTGGCTGCCCTTTCAACCATTGTCTCTGTCCTTTTGGTGTGATTTTATTTGTGTTCTATTATGTTTAGAACAGCAGTGGTTTCTGTTTGTTAGTCTCTCTCGAAAAATAGACTTTAACATGAGTGACAAGTGCGACTTTGAGCTCCTGTGTCTTCGTGTCTGGACACTGACTGAGAGCTGGCTTCACAACCAGGTCGCTGAGGCCTGAACGGCATCTTATTTTCATTACACATATGTCAGCTACACTGGCCTGGCGTTGAGTTCAACAGCTTTATGTCCGCGGCACGCTGGCGCCAAGATTCATAATACAGTGAAACCTTGATTGTGTTGCTTTTATGTCCCTGTTGCTGAGCAGAAACGTCTGCACAGTTGGAGATGAAGTCTCTAAATGAGGAAAAGTGAATATCATATGTAAACCACATTATGCCACCTAATGGGGACAAGTGATGGAACAGGGCTCACTCTCATCTCTGGAAGTTAAACTGAAGCCTCCTTTTGTCTGTAATGTGATGACACTGTATAGTTGAACCATCACAGTCTCTGCTGCTGCGTGACACTGTATAGTTGAACCATCACAGTAAGCCTTGCAAGAACAGTCTCTGCTGCTGCATGAAATACCCAAACCTCAGTGACAACAGCTTTATGTCTTGGCAGAGGATTTGCCTCATACTGTGTGCACAGGAGTCGGAGTGACGGTTGGCGCTCGTGTCACTCTGCAGCTCAGCGTGCACCTTATGTGAATCTGTTTGCTTCCACAGTTCTACTGTCAGGAAGAGCACGGATGTGTCAACCATTCAGTGAAAACCTTGTGTAAAAACAGTAAAAACTGTGGTTGTGAGGACGAGTTAGAGGATGTTTTAGACACATTCAGCAGCCTCCCCGCTCATGGTGTGATATCACCACTACAACCTCTGACTCTTTCTCTTCATAGAGACCAATGTGCAGTGTTTCCCATTTTCATTTTAACAAAGATTCAAACAAAATGGAAGCTTTTGAAAATGATTAATGAGATTTAAAAGTTGAATCTACAGTAGGTCAACCTCCTCATCACTGAGCCCTGGGTGTCCACAGCCCTGTGGCCGGTTCACTGTCTGTCCTTCCTTGGCACTGTGGTCATAATGTTATGGCTGATCAGTGTAGTTCAGTGGGCCTCAGGTTTATGAAACCTAAGAATATATTCCTATCTTCTTTTATTGCGTCACCATCCGAACATGTTTGTTAGAGCCTCAGTGAGCGAGTGTTTGGTGTCTCAACTAAACTGCAATGCAGAAAAAAAAACACCTAAACTTGTAATTTACAAACTTGCCACCACAGCGAAAAACATGTCACACAAAAACTGTGCACTTGTCACAGTGTCAGTGCGGCGGTGACTCCACCAGGGCTTCTCAGCCTTTTCTACTCCATGACTCTGGTCTTGAGGCCCACAGCAGCGACACGGTTGTGAGACTGTGCTAACGTAGCACGGCTCTACGTTTGTGTTTTAGCCCACAGAGAGATGCACTGCAGTCATATTTGGAATGATGACATATTTTTAGCACACTTAATGTTTTCCTCATTAAGTATAAGGTTAAAAACTTCTTGTCACTCTGTCATCTTATTGAGCAAAACAACGCACACACACAAATCTGGCACGTTATCAGTTCAAGTGTCAGATGTAAGAAAGTGCTGGTTTAAATTTGGTGTTGGTTTGTCTGTGCAACATGTGGAGGTGAGCAGTATTCTCAGGATTCTCTGGTACTTTCCACAAAGACACACACCTGAAGCAGTCATGTATGGAAAAGTTAAGTACTATCACATCAGAGTGACACAGAGTGGGCTGTTCGGCTCCTTCCTGAAGCAGCTTCTGAAAGATTCCCCTCTGATTAGTCTGCTGTCTGTGACCTTCACAAACCACAGGCAAGAGACATGAGAACAACCGAGGTTAGGATTTGAGAGAACCCTCTGCCCGTCACAGCCTGGCTCCTACTTTGTTTACATGAAAGAGCTTCAGTCCACTGGCAGTGCACGACCATGGAGGTCAGGGTGGATGTGCATGTGCAGGAGTTTTCAGCTGACAGGATTGTTTCATCTGTCCTCATATGTAACCAAGTGTTTTTAATGGCTGAGACAGAAACACAGATACCTGCATCGTGCTTTAGTTTAACAGAGCAACAAATAAAAAACAGCACAGGGTTACGTATTGTGTTGTACCGAAGACCAACAGTAACACAAAATGACTAAAAGGAGACAGAAAAGACCCCGAAGACCAACAACCACAGAAATATGCCAAATGGCACAAAACAAGTTAACACAAAAATGTCTGGGAGCAGATGCAAAACAGCTACAGGAAGACAACCTGGTTGTGCCCATTGGCCCATTGTCTCAGAAGCCGTCCGTCGATGTTACCCAGCCCTAAAGCGACAGCGGACAGTTTATCAGCAGCCGTGACACAGTGATGGGTTTCTGGGCCATTTGAGACATGAAGCAAAATGAAGCAAAATGAAGCAAAATGCAGCATGTAACTTTTATTTTATGTCTAGGTTTATTTCAGATGTAATGTCAATTAAAAGTATGAATTTTCTAATGAAATGTTTTGTAACATCTCACACAGCCAGTCTGGTACTGACATTTCACGTCCCTTTAAACAGCTCGAATACAAGTTCTTCACAAAAACCTACAAATGAATGTCTGTCTGTTTATTGTGGCCTCATTCACAGTACTCGTATTCAGGTGTCTGTTTGTTTCATAGACCGGTTGGTTTGGGCATTAGGCCTCTGTGGGGGATGTCAGGCTGTTGTGTCTCCTAACATGCCCAAACTGTAGTGAAATACAGTAAATGCTAACAAATGCAAAGCAGGTTAGAGGCTGTAGAGTGAGCACACTTCCTTTAAACGGGTCAGAGGACTCCGCTGTTCTGTTCTACACAGAGGGAGAGAGATTTGCATAGTTGTCCTTCCTTCACGTATGGGCAGACACGCACACCCACACACATGCACATGGATGAAGTACGTCTCTATAACTATGTGTTGCTGTGCTCACAGTGTAGCACAGGTCAACCTGCAAAAGCTGCAGTTTTGCTACATCAGCAGTGGTGAGAAAGTAGGCCTCGTGTGTGTGTGTGTGTGTGTGTGTGCACGTCTTTCTGTGGTTGTGTGGACAAATTTGACTTTGATACCATCATTGTGAGGACATTTTGGCCAGTTTACACAACTTCATGGGACTGTGTGAAGGTTAGCATGTGGTCTCAGGGTGCAGGCTAGAATTAGGTTGTAGGTTCATGTTAGGGTCGGGCATTTAGTTGGGAGGGTTGAAGTTTGTGCATTGTAAGCAGCTGGGGATGCATTAGGCCAGCGTGGACTCTGGCTGCTTCCTTAGTCTCTTACGTCTTAGTCCCGCCCACAAGAGACACGAGGAGAAGATGAGACGTCTTTTCCTCCTACCTTTCAGCTGAAGTGTCCAGTCACCAGCTGATTTATACCAAAATGTCTGTAATGGTGCAGCAGCAGGAGACCGTTTTAGTCTGATCATGCAGACGGAGGGATGTTCACAGTGGCTTTAATACAAAAACAGTTCTTCCCCTGTTTAGGAGGATGAGGAAGAGGAGCGGACACTGACATCAAGACAGTTCCACAAAGGGATTTGTGTAGTACAACTGGCATGAGATGCTGTTTTCCTCTGTGTGGTTCATGTCTTTAGTTTATTCTGATTCATGAGGTCTGAGTTTCTTGGATGCTGTGGTGACTGACACTACTCATGTTGAATACTGTGTTTAGTTTTGACCTGGGACATTCTGAGAAGTTTAATATAAGTTTTATATAAGAACTTTAATGAAGTAAATACTAATGAATCACCATTGGTTCATGTCAACCAGCAACACAGAGTGAGTCACACACATATACAGTATAGAGTTTATCATAATCATCTGTTTGTATTCAACAGACAAACACCAGACACATCACACTTCTCTCTGTCAAACCATTGTGCTGGAAATATCTTGTTTAACTTGTTGGACAACATCGCTCAGTGGGCGTGTGGTAACCAGTGGATAAGTATTAAAGTATTTGCCCCTGTTTTTTGTGTAAAGTTGCCTTCAGTTGAATCCAGTTTGTTCATTTTATCAACACAAAGAAAACTATTCAAATTATGGTGGGCATCACTTTCACAGTTTAACATAAACACTTCATGATAGGGACTTTTTGCATTCAAGATTAAGTCTTAAAGCTAAACTCAGATTTCCCCACTGTCTGCTAAGCCCAGTGACAGTGGGACGTGGTGTCTCCCAGCTACACCCCCCCTCCATGACCCTCTGCTGCCTACAGCCTCCTGTTGTTATTCCAGCTTCTCCACCCTGCGTTGTCAAAGTACGGTCTGTAAATCAGCCCCCCCCTGCCGCCTAGCCAAGGTTAGAAGA